TTTAAAATGTTTGTTTTAATTGGTATCGTTTTGGCGTTTTCTTTGTTTTTCGCAGATTCTGAAGTGATAATTGCTGGAGCATAAGATTGCCAGCCAGGCTGTGGAGGGAGGGACCCGGAAAGGAGCCTTTTTTTTTCGTTGAACAAAAAACTTGCGGCTTCTCGGAAGCAAGGAAGAACGAAGGGGTCTCTGGATGTAGTATTTCACGCGTTGTTGAGTTCACTTTGAGTGAGTGAGTGACGTTGCCTATCAAAATCGTTTAAACAAAAAAAAAAATTACTAGTCGTTCATTGCGATTAATTGCGTCGATTTGGATCCGATTCATTGCTTATCGGCCTTTTTTTTAGGATTGGCAATTTAATGCGCTGTTTTGGGTTTGGATTTTCGGATCAGTCGTCAGATGAGTTGCTATCCGCCAAAGGAGATATAAATTTTCTTCGCAAAAAAAGTGTTGGCTTTATTTTGTCTCGTAGTTAGCAATTGAAAATCTAAAGTAGCGTGATTAAAAAAATTATTGGTCCAAAATATACATTACTATAGAAGATTCGTTGTAGGAAGAATTTCGTTGCAGAGAGCCCCAATGAAATGGAGAGAACCAGTTATGGCACTGAATGAAAATTCGTTATACAGAGAAAACCGTTGTAGAGAGAGTCCAAGTGCATGGATACATTCTTAACCGTGTGTATAGTTAAAGTATTTATTGTACCTTTTAATAAGAGATAGTTCTTACTTATTTGGATTCAAATTACCTGTTTTTCTTGGATGCACGCTGTTCCTCTTAATTATTACAGTAATTAACTGTGTTTTTGAAACTAATGGAAGATGTGTGGGATTATGCCGAATTATTATTTTGCATTCCGATCTGAGAACTTCAAGAGTCTCTTCTTAAGGGACAGGGACATTTTCTTGGCACTTTTTCACCCCCAATTTCCTCTTGAGAGCTGAGCTGAGCAAAATTTTACTTTAACGATCCCCACTGCGCTCCTCCGGCACCCTCTTTATTCTTCTCACAGCATCTCCCAACATTAAAGCTCTTCTTTCCCTTATTCGAGAGTAATTGTTTTTTTTTCCGCATTCCAAGAGATAGAGAGAGAAATTCTTTCAGCTACTGTATATATATATATATATGGATCGAAATCAAGGGGACGGATATTGTAGCCAGCATCATGTCGGGTTGCGAAGCAAACGTCGGGAGGAAGGCGGGCAAGTCCAGGAAATTTTGCCCAAGCGAATCGTGCACATGTCGATGGATGACACTTTGAAGCAGGAATTGTTGCTTGCTGCGCAACGGAGGCTGCAAAGAGTTGGTGGGTTTTTTTTTTTTTTTTTTTTTTACATACAGTATTTTGTGTAGATTTGTGTATGTATCATGCGAATAGCAATTTTAAGCTCAATTAAATAGATCAATTTTTTACACGCTTCAAATCCAGATTTTTGAATAAATTTTCCCTGTTCTTGGGAAATTTGCGAATACTGTACCTGTGGATTCATGTGTTTACTCAGAATACCTCGAAGTGTGCATGCAGTGGGTCCCCGCATAAAAAAAGATTCATGTAACAAAATTTCGCATTTTGTAGGTGCAGAAATGATGAATAAGTACAGTAATTCGATGACCAAAATGTTCGCGCCAAAAACGCTGAAATGTCATCAATTGGTAAATTTTTTCTGCGATTTTGAAGGAGAGGAGAAAGGATTGGGTTAGTTTTACTTATTTCTTTTTGAATGCAGTGTATGGAATTCAGAAGTTCAAGAGCTAGAATGAGTTGATTTCTTTGATTTCATACTAATCAATTTTAAATTCACTATTTTATGCTGAAAAAAGTTGAAATGGTTGAATAAATAAATTAAATAAAAATACCGTAGTTGAAATTTACAATGGAATCTGGAAGAAATACGTTTTGCATGAAAAAAGCACATAATCAAATGCATTCAGGAATGGGTTTTGGGTTTTTTTTTATCTTGGAGACTCACTGTATATTAATGCAAGGTTCTTGCTGCACAGAATAGTTGAGCACTTCAAATGTAAATTCGTATTTCTGAGAATGTTCTGTTAAGTGAAACATGATTTTTATTGAAATCAAGTACATTGAATAATTGAATAATTTCCAAGTATTTATCCATTTTCTGGGCATTCTCAAAATATCCATAATAAATTATGAAAATTTAAAATTATTTTAGAGTTGCTGCTATAATTTTTCAAATACTGTAATAGTTCTTATCTTTTGTACAGATTTTTCATGATATAAAAAATTCTGCAACTTCAATTTGAAACTTTTTAAAATTGAAGCGTTTTTTGGTAGAAATTTCTTGTTACTTATTTCTCCACTTGAAATGTAAAAGTAGGTACTTCATTTTAATTTGCGGTTGTGGACATGGTAGTCCAAACCGTTTTATGCTGGACTCTGCTTCTTGATTCTATTGCTATGGATATCTTCTAAAAACATCAATCAGTATATTACTCTCCTTAATGTTTGCATTGAATTATAGTTTTTTTCTTGAGTTCTGTTGCCCCAGTTATAACCCAACATTCAAGAAAATGAACTGTTGTTTCTGAAATATATTTCAAGGTATTACAATGGAGGAGATGGAGGTCCAGCCACTTGATGGATCAAATAGGGCAGAGTCTACGTCCGAAGGGTCACCAGTTCTACACCGCTATTACGTCGTCTACTCGGTTTTACCAAAGGCGTTACTGTCTGTAAAAAGCCTCTTACCTACGCTTTATGGCATAAGACCATACTTGGGATTGTTTGTTGAGAATTATGCATTCTGTGTTATGTACTAACGAAGTCCTGTCAGAAATGGTTTTTTAAGAATGTAATTTTTCATTATTTTACCGTACACCAACTAGTTCAAGTAAAATACCGTATTCTGCTATGAACCAATTTTTTGTTGAAAATTATGCATCCTTTGTTTTGTACGAGCAAATTCCTGTCAGAAATGTTTCTTTTTCAAGAATATTGATTTTATTTTCAATATTACACCGTACATGCACCAACCAGTTGAAGTTATGCAATTTTTTGGGAGATATAGTTGCATACTAGTTATACCCATGATGGGCTGGCTTGAGGGCGTTAGCCTTGATGTACCCAGCCCATTTTTAGAAACTAATCTATTGAACCATCAACCAACTAGTTGCCAAAAATGCCCTTCACTCCAGCACCTGAATTATTTGCTGGGAAGTTCTCAGGAAAACTTTTTCTTCCAAGTTTTGCGGCTCTTTTTGATACAAGGTTTAATTAATCTGTAATTAATATAAAGTTTTCTTTGTAGCGTTTCAGCTCATTTTGACATGAGTAAGATTTTATTTGTGTTCTTTATTTTCAGGGCTGCTCAACAGAAAATCTCACATGTCGCAGGGAAAACAAGTTCTCGGGTTACCACCACCTCCACCACCTATTATCAGAACGAGGAGATCTTTTCCAGCTCCTCACACAGGTTTGGAAACATCACACTAATAATATTTCGATTTTGAATAATC